GGTTGGTGGGTTGGTGGGTTGGTCGGTTGTTTGTTTGTTTGCTTGTTTGTTTGTTTGTTTTTTGTTTTTTGTTTTTGTCTGTTTGTTTGTTTGTGTGTGTGTGTGTTGGTTTGTGTGTTTGTTTCTTTGTTTGTGTGTGTGTGTGTGTGTGTTTCTTTGTGTGTGTGTGTGTGTTTGTTTGTTTGTTTGTTTGTTTGTTTGTTTGCTTGCTTGTTTGCTTGTTTGTTTGTTTGCTGTTTGTACGTTTGCTGGTTTGTGTGTACACGTAGGCATGTTTACATGCATGCAAGCACATGCTATATTACGTTCATTAGATCTGAGTTACCTCAGTCTATATAGAAGAACACCTACACACGCATATTATATATATATATATGTACACATACAACTATATAGACTATATGTATGTGTAAATATATACACAAATATGTATATTGTATATATATATATATATATGTGTGTATACATATATATATATATATATCGTCCTAGTTGTTCTAATCGTTGTGGTGCCAGTCCTCCTTTCCGGGTCTGTCATCTACATCGTCTGCTCATTGTCGTCGCGATCCTCGTCGTCGACGTCGTCGTCACCATGGTGACGGTGATTATGATCGTGGTGATGGTGGAGGGCCATCATCATCATCATCATCGTCATCATAGTCATCATCGTCATCGTCATCATCGTCATCATCATCACCGTCATCATCGTCATCATAATCATCATCATCGTCATTGATGTGTAGAGACTGTTGGAGCCTTTCGGATTGGAAGTGCGCACTCGCATCAGGAGTTTCAGTCAGGCCCTCGCACTGTCCAATCCTGAATAACGAGAATGCAACAGCACCCCAACACGAAGGTTCCAATCGCAACGCCCTAAACTTCTAAATCTAGAAATCCTGACCCGAACCCCAACTGTTGAAGCCTTCAAACCTGGAAGCCCGAGCCCTTGAACCCTAACCCTAGAAGCCTATAAACTCTGCACCCTAAGCCTTAACGCTGTAGGCCTCACATGGGGCAGGCCCTCGTTCGCCACAGCAAAAGGGGCCAGTGCACATTAAAAAAAGGCTTAAAGCCATAACCCTTAAAGTCTAAACCCTAAACCCTAAACCTGTAGAGAAACCAAAGAAACCCCAACCTTAAACCTTAAAGCCATAAAGCCGCAGGGCGCGGCTCAAAGCCAAGAGGGAGGCTGAGAAAGCCGAGCGGGAGCGAGAGCAGGTGGCTTCGGATTCATCCGGTTTCTGTAAAGGTCTTTGGGTTTAGGGTTTAAGGATTAGGGTTTAGGGTTTAAGGTTTAGGGTTTAGGGTTTAAGGTTTAGGGCCCGGGGGGTTCTGGGAGGGGTCTATGAGGTTTCTAGAACTAAGAATGAATCAGGTTGTCAGGGGTGCGAGCGTTTACAGTTCGGGTCCAGTTGAGGGGTTTAGGGTCTAGGGTCTGGGGTTTAGGGTGTAGGGCTTAGGGTTTAGGGTTTAGGCATTCATGTTAACAACTGCCAACATCCTTCCTAAACCCGAAACCCTCATCCCGTCATCCCAGCAGATCAAAGATCACGGAGGTCTTCTCATTTTCCACTCCATGTACCTACAGGGCATATACTGAGACCCAACGTACCTATGTAGCTTTTGTTTTTTTATTCATGGGCTATATCAGTATATGGGTAGTCCTCTAAATTGGGGTCCCCTCTTAAGCTCCCCAATATAGTACGGCACCCGTATGAAAAGGACCCTAAAAGGGACCTTAGTTTAGAGAACTCATATGGAGCTTGAGGGTGAGTGACCGGCCCGTCTGACAAGCAAGCCAACGACCGGCTACGCTCGCCCCTCTCATGTGGGTTGCCCTAAACCAGGACCCCCCAAGTGCCCTTTAATAGAGCTTTATGGGAGTTTCCGAAAACAAGGGGTGCCTTATTTTGGGGGTCCTTATGATAAGGAACCTACTATTTCGGGTACTCCCACAGCAGAAACAAAGCTGTCGGATTAGCCGGCAGATGCCTATAGAGGGATTCAACAGGCATGGCCTGTTTAGGTACAGTACAAGGGTTTCCAGCTTATGCATTGAAGTTGCTGACACGCGAAGCATCAAAGGATATCTAAGACATCGTGCAGAACCTCAACCCTAAACCCTAAACCCCTCAACCTCAAACCGTTGAAAAAGAGGTTCCACTGCCTCACTTGCGGGGTCTAGCATTGTTTGGAGTTTGGGTTTGCAACAGGAGCGTCCCTATATAAGTTCAGTGTTTAGGGTTTAGGGTTCACGGATATTCTTGAATTTTGCGGCATGAGCCTTGTTCCCGAAATTCCAAAGACGGCATTCAGTTAAGGTTTTTGAGCTTAAACAAAGCCCTCGGCCCAAAACCCCAAAACCCGAACCACCATTTGTTGTGCTGTAAACCCTAAACCCTAGACCCCTAACCACTAAGCCCCTAACTATATACACTAAACCCTTAAACCCTTAATCCCCAAATACCTAAACTCCTCAAACCCCTAACCCTTAGCTCTACCCTAAATCACTGAACCCTAGTTAGACGCCAAAACCCCAAATCCTTAAACCCGGAACACCTAAATCCCGAAGACTGAAACTAAACCCTCAATCCCTAACACCTAAAACCTTGAACCCTTCTACCGGGGCCTCCAATACTCCTTAATTAAGGAATATACCTTAAATCATAATAGGGATCCTACTATAATTTAAGGTACATTCCTTAATTAAGGGGTATTGGAGTCTCTGCCCCCTAAACCCAAAACCCTAAACTCTAAACCCCTTAACCCTAAAACCCTAAACCCCAAACCCCTACCCCCAAACCCTTAAACTCCTAAACCCTTGAACCCCTCTACCGGGCCTCCTTGGGGACATCCCAAAACCCTAAACCCCAACACCTAAAACCGAGACTAAACCCTAAATCCTTAACCCCTAACGCCCTAGCCTGAAACCCTAAACCCTAAACCCTAAATCCCTAATGAAACTCTGATCCCCTACAATTACCGGGGCCTCCTTGGGGGACGTCCCTTCGCCAGCTCCGTGCCCGTGCCTCGGCCAAGCGAAGCCGCCGGGCGCAGCGCGACGCCGAGGAGTCCGGGTTCAGGGTTTAGGGTTTAGGGTTTAGGGTTTTGGGCTAAGGGTTTTGGGTTCAGGGTTTAGGGGTTTAGGGTTCAGGGTTTAGGGTTTAGGGTTCAGGGTTTGGGGTTTAGGGTTCAGGGTTTAGGGTTAAGGGTTTAGGGTTAAGGGATTAGGGTTCAGGGTTCAGGGTTTAGGGTTCAGGGTTTAGGGTTTAGGGTTTAGGGTTAAGGGTTTAGGGGTCAGGGTTTACAGGTTACGGGTTGAGGGTTTAGGGTCTAGGGTCCAGGGTTTAGGGTTTCGGGTTGAGAGTTTAGGGTTTAGGGTTTAGTCCAGGTTTAGGATTTCAACAGGTTTAGGGTATGGCATGGGTTTAGGATTCAGGGTTGAGGGAGGTGATATTTCCCAAAGGTCCAAGTTATGGTATATACTTTTGGCGGCCAAATACAGTCTACTAAGTAGCTACTACATATTGGTACTCGGACCATTTGGGGTTTAAAGCTCATAGTCTTTACATCAGGGCTCAGTAGGGTTTAACTATGTTTAACTCGTAAGCACCTGTAACAATGCTCTTCCTTGGGGTTCCTGATTCGTGGCTGTAGCTGTGCTATGAATGTACCCCCGCCCCCAACACAAGATTGGCATTGAATCATGAGGGCTCCTATATTACGTAGGAGGGTTTTCCATGTTTTCGTCGCGGTTTGCACAGGGCGACATAGAAGTCATTAGGGTTGAGCGCTGAATGAGATGGTTCTCGGTAGCACTTGACATCCCCGTTTTGGGGGGTTGGGTGTCATATAGGCTTCTTTAAGGGATCTATGATGTTGCCCGAAGGATCCTATACTTGACCCTAAACCCTAAGCCCTAGGTTTAGGGTGTAGGACTCAGGGGGTGGGGTGAAGGGGCGGAGAACAGGTTGGTGTAGGTGGCTTTGCAGGGTTTAGGGCATCAGGTTTACAGTTAGGTTCATGGAGGGGCAAGTCCGGTGCTAGAGCTGGCGCGCTTATCCAGCGTTGCAAGCCAGGCTTCGCAATGGGCACGGTTGGTGCGAAATTCGGGGTGTAAGTAGTCCCTGTGAAGGAAACCTGTGCTCCTTATGCAGGCCCCTAGATTGTCAGGGACCCTAAACCCTAAACCCTAAATCCTAAACCCTAAACCCCTAAACCCTAAACCCCTAAACCTCCAGCGAGGAGTTCCCCATGACCATCGGAGAGCGCATCTTCAAGCAGAAGATGGAGAGGCAACGCTTCTTTGTCTTTTTCTGAATGGGCTTAGGGTTTAGGCTTCAGGGGTTTTTGGCTTTAGGGGTTTAGGGTTTAGGGTTTAGGGGCTTACCTTAACCTACCATAGCCTATTTTTTGGTAGGTTCTTCTTATAAACCCTAGTACAGAATTTATAGGGACCCTACAAAAAAAGTAGGTTTTGGTAGCTTAAGGTAGAGTTTAGGGTATTAGGGTTTAAGGTTTAGAGTTTAGGGCTTGGGCTTCTAGGGTCCAGGGTTGAGGGTTTCAGGGATTAGGGCTAAGGGCTTCAGAGTTGAGGGTGCCAGGGCTTAGAGCTTTTTCCTGAGGTTTCTGTGCAGGGTTCTTTTGAGCTTTGTGATCCAACGCCCCGACACGATGTACCTTGGGTGGTGCGCCAACAAAGGCCGACCTTTGCAGTCCAAAGACTTAGTTCCCCAATACCCAACCTTTAAACTTTTTGGGTTCTTATAGTTAGTAGCCCTAAACCCTAAACCCTAAACCTTTTATTTCCCTGGCTTATTGGGGAAGTAAGAAGAAGCCATCTGCAGCTAGGCATCAGGAAGCAACTGCAGGAACCGCCTCATAGGGTTTTGGAGCTTACCGGGGAGGGGATGTAGGGTTGAAGGTTTAGGGTCGAGGGTTTAGGNNTAGGGTTTGGGGTTTAGGGTACAAGGCACATGAGGATTTAAGGGTGTGTGGGGCCAAGATATTGTTGGCTACAGGGAAAACTTCCGTTTGGGTTTAGGAAGTTTAGGAAGATCCTCCAAAAGATGTTTCTGAGGTCTGTCAGGTTGTCTAATGGGGCTTCATATGGTTTTCAACGGAGTTTACGCTAAACCCTAAACGCTGTTCATCGGGGTTGGGCGATTTGGCGTTCAGGGTTAGAGGGTTGAGGCGTCAGGCCCTACACTCTTTAGGGTTGGGCGCGTCTGGTAATATGGGGGGGGGGGGNNGTTGAGGGTTTGGGTTTAGGGTTTGGAGATAGGAGTCAGGTTTGAGGTTCAGGCTTGAAGGTATAGGGTTTAGGGTGGAGGATTTTCAGGGTGAGGTCAAGCTCAAGGTGCAAATTGTAGGGTGCACCTTAACTTAACGCCAACGAACCTACCTCTTTGGACAATTTTATGGACTTATATAAGGAAACTATAAGGAGGAACCCCAAGGACGGGGGGTGTTTGCCTATGATAAGTATGTCTTTGGCAGCCGCTAAACCCCTAAACCCTAAAC